AGTGAAAATTATTTAATTTATTATATTTTGTGTGATAAATACAGTTTTCAGTTTATTCATGAAATTAAATGTCTAAAGCCGTGTTTCCCAACGTGGGGCCCACGCTCCACAAGGGGCAATGCGACTGTTAAGGGGGGCAATTCGAAAATGAACTCGTCCAGAGATTAAAGGGACAAAATACATTCAAACGGGACAAAGGATGTTCTAAATATGTTTCATGAAGTCAAAATTTTTCGAAATTTCATTTTTTATTCCCCAAAATAAAGAAAAATGTAAGTGATGTATACGTGAAAAAGTTTTTAAATTGCTGTGCATTTTAAATATTTAATAAAAAATTCTCACTGTAGACATGGACATTTAAATGCTTTTAAAGGTATTTAAATAACTGACACATTACTCTTTCCAGACGTTTCTCGCACATTTCAGCCAACAAATTTATTTTATTTTTTACTGTAGGAATGACAGCCGGTATATTATTCTTTCCTTGAATGGCAACAGCAGCTGCTTTCAGCTTTTTTTATATTGATCTTATATTTATTTCTTTCAGCCCTTAGTGAAATGAGGGGTGCAAGCAAGAAAAACGTTTGTCGGTATTCGGAGGCATTTAAATTGTTCATACCCGGTCCACAACGATCACTTTTATCCTTTATGCGATAATGCTTACCGCAATAATGAACAGGTCGTTCTTGAGGACATTTGAGGCGAATTATAATGCTTGTATTATCAGGAAAAATTATTTTCACACTTTAAGGTTTTGGGGGGAGTAATATTAGTGTCTATTTGTGCTCATAATGCAAGTGTAATCGGCTTGAGCGGGGAAAAGCCTCCTCGAGAACTGGGAAAGGCGTACTATAGGGGAGAATTTGTCACCACATTATCAGCAAAAAAACTGGCTAGAAAAAACGGGACAAAGAGTTACGCATGCCACTAAATAACAATACTGTTTTTACAGAAGAAAGATAAAGGAGTGAGGATATTGAAATACACTTGTTGAAAAGCTGAAAACAAGAAACATTGGTGGGGGGGAACTGGAGACCAACTTGAGAGACAGTGAGGCCGAATTGAAACTTGTGTAAGATATATTCATAAAGGGGAGGGCCGAAGAAAAGGCGAGAATCGGAGAAGCACCACACGCCAAATATATTATAGGAAGCTAAAAAATTACTTAGAGAAAGAATATACCAAGAAAAAAAGAATACATCTGTATGCAGAGTGCTCCTAACGGATGGTGAAAAAAAAAATAAGCACAGAATTGGAAAAAGGGTGCTTTTAAAATGATGAAGAGGAATCAAAAATGTCTTGTGCATTGTGTTTTCAGATAAAACCCGGTAGTAAACATTTACGACTGTTCTAAATGACGTACTAAATTCAAGTATAAGGGGCATGCTATAAGCTAAGGCCAAATGTTGAACGGGGGAGTTATTTGGGGTAAGTATTTGAAGAAGTAGAAGAAGGGGAAGAAGCTGAAGTAAGAGGCTTTCGAAAGGGGGGGCTGGGAAGAGGAGGAACTAGGGATATCGGAGGGAGTATTGGAAGCGACAAACCTGAAATGGGAAAATCTGTTAACGGGGATACCAAGGCAGAGGAGTTATTAGGAAATCTTTAAAAAATTACTACATTAAATAAACAACTTCAAGACAAATAAAACTTATGTCAAAAGGTGATATTTAGGGCATTATTTTTGTTGCATTATTTCAGGCATAACTATTACCCAAAAATGGGAAAAGTCTCATTGGCTCCAAACTGGACTGACTACCACAGCTGTATTGTCAATCCGAAAGGGATCGGTGGGAAAGAGGGGGAACAAAAAAACAAGGTTTTGTGTTTGAGTGCCAGCCAAGCTAGTGAATTTGGCTGATAGTTCAAATAGCAGTAAAGAAGACTCGCAGAAAGAAATGCAAACTGATGAGTCAATTGAACACTTTATTTAATATCGAGCAATACAGCTTTGTGAGGCACCAGAAAAGATATCCAATGCGCAAAATTGCAGAGAACTTTGTTACCGTTTCCAATAGGGGCTGAATGCGGGGATTTTAGGTATTTGATGCTAAAAAAAAAAAAAAAAAAAAAAAAAAAATTCTGTGGGCACACAAGCCTCGCTAAATTAACTAATAAAAAAACTAAACTTAAAAACACCACTAGGCGAGTGTTTGTTGAATTCAGTTCCCAGGAAAGTTCACGTACTGTGGAGTCACAAAATGGCGTAGCAACCCTATGGTAGCATTTCAAGTTTCTTTGTGAAAAGAAAACACGAAATAGAAAAATTAGGTAATGCTAGGGAGAGTTAAAAAAGTTTAGAGGGCGAGTAGGTGGGGCACGCACAAAAAAGGGCAAACATGGTCAAAGCAAATTTTTTTTTTTAAATTTTGGTCTGTTGCAATTTAGCAAATGTGTGGTGAGAAGGGGATATCTTAATAATTAATTTTTAGAATTGTTTGTATCCTATTTGTCTACACTGGGCAAACTGGTGTTTTTGCGAAAATTAGGAGTTCTGCAAGTCAAAATAAGAAAGAATTCAAAAAGAAAAAATTCGAAAAAAAATAGATTACACCATTACAAAAGTGAATCAGAGCGGGTGGGGGGATGCAAACAAGTAAAAGAGAGTGTCACAGTGGGGGCTAGAAAGATGATGTCGAGTCATTGATTGTTCAAAAATGTTTCTCACACAACATATGAATGCCATTTGGAACAACGCATTAGGTTGAACGCCTAAAAAGTATTATGACGACCAAACCAAATAGAAACAAATTAAATGCAGGATGTGAAATGTGACTGCATATAACACCAATCATATAGAGTTAAACTTCCACAGTTTGTGTAAAAAAATGCAGGCACACCCCTACATGAAATATGATGCAAGGGGGTGTGCCTGGGGAGCAAAGCCCGTTTTGAGTAATTCTTAATTTTAGTTACCATTGTTAATAAAATATTTTTTTTTGTTTTTAATAAAAGTAATTAATGTATTTGATTGCATTAAAAGTTATTTTAAGATAAAGCTTTAAAAATTTTAGATATATTTTTCAAAGGGTGGATGGGGTTCCCCAAAAGTACTTGATATTTGTGGGTTCCCGTGAGGACAAAGGGAAGACCACTGGTTTTAATATCAATATCAGCCATTTATCAAAGGGGGGACATGAACTGTACCAAGTTTTCATTAGGGAATAGGGTAGAGTAATTTGGCCTGAGTTTTTTTTTTTTTAAAACATAGGTAAACTTTTCTGTGTATGAAAATGGGATGGAGTCACACTGTACAATTCAAAAAAGTGAATTTATTTTTTTGTATTTGGGTTGCACTTTCGAATCTGTTAAAAACAGGCGTTACAATTTGAATTCCTGTATGAAATTTAAGCTTTGAGATATATTGCAGTTGGGCATTTAATCTCACCTGACATTTTTTTAACAATTGTCCGGGAGCTGTTACCATGTTCACTCGTAGATGTGCTTAATTTTACTGTTGCACATGCTTGGTAAATTGAAGGTGTGGTTAGAAAAGAATGGCCACTAACAAGGGATGAAAGGAAAGTACAAAATGAGGGGAGGGAAGGGAAAAGGAGGGGCGAGATATATAGGCAAGCAATTTTAATGGTGGGGACGGTGTTAAGTATGTGGGTGTGGTGACCCACACAAACCGAACACCACAATTTGGCCAAGGGCAGGGGAACATAACGCAGGGGGAAGAAATCAAAACAGGAAAAGCATTCACACTGTAAGGATGCTATCAAAGAATAAAAGATACAGCCCATTATTACGAAAAAGTGGGGGACATACACAGAACTAAAATGAAGGAATGCGGGATTTGGAAATTGGGACTAAAATTCGGGGGGGATTATAATAGATGAGACCAATGAATGAGGCAGTGTTTATATAACGATGGTCAAGCTGGGCAATTGCAACTAGAATGACTGGATTACCGAATTGATGATAATTTCAGCAAGTTTCAAACACACGACAGGCGATTCAGTACCAAAATAAGGCAGAGATGTGAGGGGGTGCTCGCAGAGAAGAAAAAAGAGCCAACTTGGGCAACACTATTGAGAACAGGAGGGTATGGTGTATGCAGGGGCAGTGAAAAATGTTTTAGTGATCGAGAAAAATATAGTGAGTTTTGAACCTTTAACTTTAAAACCGTTTTCTCAAAATGGATCTTCAGGTTGGAGTTCTTTTGGCGTGTATCATGCATGATTGAGGCAGGGTTGCGGGTATTCGCAAAAGGCACCTTTTCTCTAAAAAAAGTTTTATATAACTTTACTTAAAATTTTAAAAGCACCGACCTAAGGCGGCAATGGGTAATATTCGGTAAAAGGAAATAGGTGAAGAATTCTGCCTAATGATGTTCCTACAAAAGGGTAAAAATTAGGGGGGTATTAATTGAGACGGGGCGGGCTTTCAGTAAGTTGGGTTCGGGGTACAGTTGGTTTGCTTTTATCTGCACTATTAAAAAAGCAAGGACCCTAATCCTTGTTGGTAACAGTGAAAATTCATATAGGGGGGGGAACCCTAAGGTTATTAAATCGTGGTGTAAAATTTCACTTTGGTGTTGAAAACAAGGATGACTCATTAAGGAAAAATATTCACAACACTGTTTTGAAGATAAGTGCTAGTATTTGTCGGAAATCGTTGAGCTTTATGTCTTATAGTTTACTCTGGAGATTATTTTTTTTTTTTTTTTTTTTTCATTTTCATTTTTTTTATATTAGAAAAGAATGTATAAGCTTCTAAGAATGAGTGACGTCAAAGATACTCCAGGGGGTGGGGGGGGGGGGGGGGGGGGGGGGGGGGGGGGGGGGGGGTGGGGGGGGGGGGGGGGGGGGGGGGGGGGGGGGGGGGGTGAGAGAAGTTTGTTATTCATTTTATAAAAAACAATTTCTGTCATGAAATAAACAAAAGTGTTGTGGAAAAAAAACTTTTGTTGCCAAATAGGCATAAGGGGAGGGAACCTATTCATTTGCATAGAAAAGGCTGTAAAAAATTTGGTTCTAAAATTGTGTGAGAGTAGGCACATGGGTGAGGTGGTAAAGTGGTGTCCTAAACCAGGGTACAATGGTAATGAGAGGGGCTTTTCATAAAAAGAAGACAAGAATTAAGTATTAATAATCTTAGTATTATTTGTATCTATAATTTTTTCAGCCACATGCCCAGTGGGGCAGTCTGAAATGCAAAAGCCAGCTGGGAAAAGGAGGAATGTGTTGGGGAGAAGAGACGCAAAACACATGTGCATTGACACCACAAAAAACAATCGGAGTAGTTTTTTGAAACTTGGCCATTTATTTGGAGCTTAGCATTCAGCACTCGCTATTGGATCCAGTCAAAAAGTTTTGCCGGCGGGGGCTCAGGAAAAAGTTTTGGAAAAGATAATGGCGCTATGAGCTGAACACATGTTTTCCTTCTGGGCGCAGAAAAAAACCAAACTCCCTAAACCTGGGGGCCAAAAAGAAAATTGTCTACTTCATGTAAAAAACCCTGCTTTTGCTTTGCAATAAAAGTGAAAAAACCTTGGAGTTTCTTTTACAACCAAAAGAAGTAGTATGTGCAACATCAAAATTTTATATTGTCCTACACAGGCATCCCTGGGGAACAGTTTTAAATGTGAATTTGGAATAGGTAGGTCAAAGGCATTCATCCATTGCTAAAATGCAAAAATTTGTTTCAATTGGTTTAAAAAGGAGTTACGAGATTGTAAAAACCAGAAAAGTATGTGTGTATGTGGCCATGAGTTTTTATAGAAGGGGAAGCATTTTTTCATAATAATATTAAAGAGGGGGGCTTATATTTTATGTTAATTGTTTTGATGGGTGGTGGCAGTTTGATTGTTTTTTTATTTGTTTATTTTGGTGGGTTGGTTTATTTGTAGGGGAATGGTGAAGTATTAGGATATAGGATATGAAATGAGAAATTTTAATGATGTGTGGCAAAAAGTAAACAGTGATTAATTATTCGGTTTTCTCCATAGGCTGTGATGTATACCTTCAAAGGGATTATGATAATTTACATCATTTTAGATGGGACTACCATTGTTGCAATATTTGCTCATTTTTTATGGTATATTCTATTGATATTAAAGGTTATTTATTTTATTATGCTTTATTTTATAGCTAGAAATAGTGTTCGATCTTCCATTTAAACGATTATTCAAAAAAGAGACGGTATTAAACATCTGGTTTGGGAGGATTTTCATTGTAGTGCTAGAATTGTGTAAGGCACCAGGGAATTTTCTTGATTGTGAATGCTGTTTAAGAATGTAAATAATTTCTTAATGTGATTGTTTATAATGCTTGGTAACCCATCAAAAGCTTAAACGTGATTGTTCATAATGAATTTCTGCAATTATGATGTCCTAAAACATTTTGGACATGTTCAACAGGACTGATATCTGATAAATATGTTGGGTAAGCAATGCATTTGATTAATATCTTTATTTTCAAGATATTTATCAGATATACTTATGGCACCAGCTATTTTTCTTATTAGGTTTGGCTTTCATTGGACATAGACGTCTAAATTTCATTTTACACATGATATTTTTTTGTAAATATATTTTTAATTTAAAATAAAGAGAATACGCAAAAAAAAAGGACTATGTGCCACAAAAGTTTTTTAATTAATGTGATGTCTGCACTTGTATTGTTAAGTTTTTTTAATATTTGACATAAAGTTGGTTAATTTAATTCTTAAATCACCTTGCTGAAAAACAGTCAACCTGTTTCTTGTTTTCCATAGTAAATTAGTCACATGACTAAAGCCTGCTTCTACAAGTAAGAAGAGAGAAAATACAGTAATTTGATTTAGTAACAATTTTTATTTTGGGATATTTCTCTCAGATGACTTTAAATCCCAAAATATAATGCACCCATGTGTTTTTAATAAGATTGGGTTTTGTATGATGCAGTTTTATATCAATAAAAAATTAATTATGGGTTTTATTAAGACATTTTCTATAATTAGTTGGGTCTTGATTATGCCAATCAGTTGCCAGTGCATATTTGGGTCAACCTGTTGATCATCATCGATCACATTGACAACCTGTTTGATATATACATATATAACAATGCTCAAATGCTTCTAATTCATAAATATTTTTAAAATTATGATAATATAAACATAAGTATGAATCGTGCCTTATTTTTCACATTGTATTTTATGTTGTGTGTCAGTAGAATTGTAGATACCTTTTTTTTTTTCAACAGTTTCAGATTAGCATAATGTAACTTTTAGTAATTTTAGTAAGTATTTTTTTTTATTTTAATAGGCTAAATGCAAATGCATTAAGACAAAACAAAACAGCAGCAATTAAAAAAAATTCCTAGGAAATTAGATCAGAAATGAAAGATAACATTCAAGAACATTCATTTTAAACATTTCTTAAGTCATCACTTAATTGCCAGTGTGAAGAAAATGTTGGAATAATCTATATATGTATATGTAATATTATGTTGTATGATCATAAATTCACTTAGTTCAAAAACAAGTTTTTCTAATACTTGCGCAATAGCTGCAAAATAAGGTAATAATAATTTATTTATTAAAGGAATATTGATTATAGTATCTCATAATATAAATTTAGTAGAAGTATCAAAACTGAGTGAACCCATATGTAGGAAGTTTAATTCCGAAAATTGTGTTTTAAAGTAACTTGAATGTAAATTATTAAAAATGTTTTACGGAGACTTAAATCATGAATAACAAAATCATGACTATTATTATCATGACTATGAATTAAATCATGAATAGCAATCATGATTAAATCATGAATAACAAAATTTCAAACTTTGAAAAAGAAATTAAATTAAAAGCAAGTAATTATCGCTATTGATCGGAAATTAGTTGACATTTCAAGGGGAACAAACCAACTCCCGTTCAATGAGCAATAATTAAGAAATACAAAGGTGCTTTGTCTTTTACTCAAGTAAGCATGGTTATGATTGGCTTAATTGGCAAATTAAGTTAAGCCAAATTGTTCCGTGAAGTGATGGGATTTAGAACCAAAGTAGAGTACCAAAGAATTCATTCTGAATTAAGCATTTTCGCTAATACAAATTTTGAGTAAAAAGCAATTTATGTAGTAAAATTTATAAAATACTTGAGTAAATGTTCCCCAACACCTTCGCTTTTATGCATGCTAATTCAAAACTATTTGTATAAAAATTAAAGTGTTAATCTTAATTAGAATTATGAAATAGAACTCAAAGTAATTGAAATAAACATTAGAAAATTAAGAAACATAATGCTATCTTTGCAAAAACAAATCAAATAATAAAAATTGAAAAATTAATATATATATATATAATAAAAAATTTGTGAAATGTACATGAAAATATAAAAGGCCAGAAAATGCATTAATTAACTTGGGTTCTTTCTAGTGGGATGTCGGTAAAGTGTTGTCTTACTCAGAAGGGGTGTGTGTTCGAAATTCCGTTATTGGCAGCGGGGATACTTTGAATTATATCAGGCGGCGAAACTTGTGAGAAATAATTTATGGGACATGGGAGGGACTAGGAATGCTTGAGGGACGTTTGTTGAGGAGTTCTTATGTGAGTGAAAACGTCTGTTAAAATTTTGAATATACTAAATAGTGAATGGAAATTAGTTAATTTCTGGCTAATTGTTGTGTTGGAACGAGGAAGAAATTTATAAAAGGAAAAAAGTAATTTTCACTGTCAACGAGCTGTTTGATAGACTAAAGATTATGAAATAGTAGAAATTATGAAATAGAGCATAAGAAAAGCCTGAAAACAATTATAATATAAAAAGCTAATTGTTTTCAGACTTTTCTTATGCTGTTACTAAAAAAATGAGCCTCTCTTAATTTTCTAATACGTATTTATTTCGATTACTTTGAGTTCTATTTCATAATTCCAATTAAGATTAACACTGTTTAATTTTTATACAAATAGTTTTGAATTAACATGCATAAAAGTGAAGGTGTCGGTGGACATTTACTCAATTATTTTATAAATTTTACTACATAAATTGCTTTTTACTCAAAATTTGTATTAGCGAAAATGCTTAATTCAGAATGAGTTCTTTGGTACTCTACTTTGGTTCTAAATCCCATCACTTCACGGAACTATTTGGCTTAACTTAATTTGCCAATTTGGCATAACCATTCTTACTTGAGTAAAAGACAAAGCACCTTCGTATTTATTAATTATTGTTAATTGAACGGGAGTTGGTTTGTTCCCCTTGAAAAGTCAACTAATTTCTGATCAATAGCAATAATTATTTGCTTTTAGTTTAATTTCTTTTTCAAAGTTTGAAATTTTGTTATTCATGATTTAATTCAAGTCCCCGTAAAACATTTTAAATAATTTACATTCAAGTTACTTTAAAACACAATTTTTGGAATTAAACTTTCTAAATATGGGTTCACTCATTTTTGATACTTCTACTAAATTTATATTAGGAGATAATATAATCAATATTTCTTTAGTAAATATATATGTAATATTATGTGTATATGTAATCTATATATGTATATTTAATCTATAAATGTATGTCAATATATGTAATGGGAATATTTTGTCTGATAAATAATAGTAATTAAATGTGTAATTATTAAACATTTTTTAATTTGATAATTCCAGTGAAAACATATTATTTGATTTTTCTTTAAATGAACTAACGGGAACAAACTGTTTTTGTGCTTACAAAATCCCATTTGAATAGATTTTAACTGGCATTGTTGCCTGTATCTTTAAATTATATGTGTTGTTTTAATTATTAATCTTTAAATTATATGTGTTACTAATAATAGTGATCTTATTCTGAAAGTAAGTATTGTCAATAAAAAAAAAAAAATATGTGCCATTCTATTTTAGTTTTTTGTTTATTGAAATTACTAACCTAACAGATCAACATGTTATCCTGTAATGCAAAAAGTCAAAGATTTTTAATATAATAATTTTATGTGACAGAATTTATTTTATTGATTTAATATACAAAAATTATTTTATCTTTTGTTTAATGTATATTAATTATTATTTTTACATCAAATTAGAATGTTTGTTTTGTGTACTTGTATAGCTGTACCTTGGAATTTTAATTAATTTTATTATTTTTAAATAGGTTCCAAAACTGCTGATAATCAGAAAGGGAATAATAATGGTAATCCATCCGTAAATACAGAAGAAGCAAAAAAGTTGCTGAAGAAAATAGAAAATGAATGGTATGTTTTTTAAAGAAAAATGAATATCAATTTAAAAGATAAAGATATTGGTTACTTTTTCTTATATGTGCAGTCTAATATTCAACTAATGTACATTTAGATCTCAGTTCATTAATGCAATTCATTCCAGAGGACTGCTCTTCACCCAGAATGTTCATAAACTATTTTGTCATAGGCGTTAATGTAAAATAGATTAATCTGTTTCCGGGTTACCAACAATTGCTTATTTAAACTTTACAACCATACTCTGTGCATAAGCTCATAACACAAAACCAATCAGAATCACTAAATCTGAGACAAAGATAAAAATACAATATAAAGCAGATGAAAACTTAGTTTAATATTACTTAATTCATATGAAGGAGAATGAACATTTTGCTGAGATGTTACTGTTTGGATGAGAAGTGAATTTCATAAAAACATCAGCTAACTGTCTTTCTGCAGTATCTTTTCTTTGTCTCTTAGTGCTATTTGACTTTGTTTTCATTCAGAATTTTTTCCAATCAGTTTGTGTTTTTAAAATGTTTCCAAAATGAGACACAATGTTGTCATTGAAAATGTATATGTATATAAAAACTTGCAAATGTTTTATCAGGATGATATTGTTACATGAAGCTTTGCATCTTAAACCATTTTGAACAATTTTGTTCAGTCAAAGAACAAGGATCATTCTCCCTTCCTCCTTTTTAATCTAAAAACATTTCCTTAACAATCTCCTTTTTTATTTTCATCTGAAGTTATTGCAATTCTTTATTGTTGAGCTTATTTTTATGGTCACATAGCATGATTGTGTTACTTCCAGGACAATGAAAGAACCTGGAAAAAATGGAAATTAAGTGGAACATGGTACATGATACAGTAATGCACCTGCAGTGTGCTACTAAAGAGTGTAAATGTACTAATAACAATGGGATTTATTTAGAAATAAATGTTTTATCTTTTCTGTTATAAAATGCAAATAAATTATAAATATTTTTGCCCAAAGTCTAGTGAAATGTGTGGTAGAATTCTTATTCATTTACAGCATGTTGCATTGAGTTAATGGTAATGTAGCTTCAGTTTTTTAATATTTAATTAAATTTTGTTTTCTGTTCTTTATTAATAAATATTTTAATTTTCTCTTTTTATTGTTGTTAAGAACTGAAATTCAGTTTCAAAATCCATCAAGACTTACAAATGTGAAAGCAGATCTTATAGAAAAGTACAAAAACATACATATATACCTCTATGCATATATTAGCAAAGAAAGTTATTTCAGGCATACAGATGAACCTAAACGTGCATATAATGTTAGGTTATAAATACATTAAGTTAAAAAAATTAATTTCTTCCAATTGGTTTTTTCCACTACAGAAGTTTGCTAAACGTGCTGAGAATTTAAAGTTTTATTTTATATTGATGCTATTTTCAGTACATTAAATCTTGTCTGTGGGAGAGTAATGTAGTTGAAATAAAGTTGAGCTGAATTAGAACAAGTTTTTTCCTCTTATCCTTTTAATTTCACAAAAATTTCCACAAAAAATTTTCATTTGATACTCTGTTTTTATAATAATGTAAATTCAATTTTGTAATTTTTTTTTAAAGTTTTGTTTTCTGTTGTTCTTGCTAAATAATTTTGCTTTTTTTTCTACTGATATGAACAGCAATTCATTTTTCTTTTCTCTTCAGCACAATAAATAGAAAATCTTAATCACTTTTTCCTCGGACTTCGATGATTCCGTCATAAATTCGATTTTTCGGATGATCATCAGTTTAAATCCTTTTAAGATGATCCTAAATTTATGGATTGTAAATTTAAAGATTACAGATTTTATGGCATCAGGGTTTCTAAATTAAAAAAAAAAAAAAAAAAAAAATAAAGAAAATCAAAAAAAATTTACAAAAAAAAAAAAAAAAAAAAAAATATTTACTTTATTAAACATTTCTTTAAATGTAAGTTGTTTAAGTGTGCTTCGTTTTAATGTGATAAACAGACATAATTTCTTGTTCAGTTACAAAGTTCCATAATTGTTCAAGTTCCGCTGTTAATTGCTGCTGTGCCGAGAATACCGACTAACTTGTCAATCGAAATTTTTTCGTTTTCACTAACCTCTCTGTCACATTCTTCATGTCTTTATCCATTTTTTGCAGCAATTCCACTTTTTGTTTGATGGACATCGAAACATACTTTCGTTTTGTACGATCCTTTGGGAGCTCCAGAATCGGAAATTCTTTTTGACATAATCGAAAGTTCAAGTTTACTTTTATAGTATTGCTCTTATAGTCTGCAAAAAATAATAAGCCGGATCCAATTCGAAAATTAAGGAACAACGCAATCATCAACATTAACTGAAATAGATAATTAGATAATTTTAGCTTATACCGTCCGTTATACATAAAATGTACACGCGAAAACGTATTCTGCACTTGCGCACACGCATATGCGCAGACGTAAAAGGTCTTACGCGCACGCGTGAACGCCTATGCACATGTGTCAACGCGGCACATGCGCAGAAAGTTTTTAGCTTTGAGGTCCAGATTATGGGTGTCCGAATTAACGACTTTTGACTGTATATATAAAACAGGGTGTCTCAAAAAGTCGTTGCCAAACTTAATATATTGGTTTGTCATACAATTGACAAACAAGATTTACATTGGAAACTTCTGTCCAAAACTGCGAATTGCATCCACTAGAGAGTAATGTTCACAAGCATAGAGAGGAAGAAAGAAAGGATGTCGAAAGAGGTATTAATATGACTTTTATTAAAAAACATGATTAAATTATAGAAGATGTTTGAAATTCTTTCCATAGTGTGTTACATGCCGCTGCTTCCGCGGAGTCATGTCAGGGAATTGCAATGGCCTAATGACTGGTTCACCTCTGACAATCCAGCAATCAAGATATGTTGAGGTATTCCCACATAGTGCTGCTAAAATGTGCATTGCTCCATGCTGAAACCAGATGATTCAGTCTGTAGCTACAGGAATGTCAATCATCAGATCCAGCAACACTCTTTCCATAAAATGTCCATAAATAACTGAGTTAGTAAACTGTTTCAACCTTCTGCAACAATCCTCGCCTGAAATGATCGCAATTCCCACTCTCACATAAGCCTGTGAACATTGCCGTCAAGCGGTTGCTGTTCACATTTTCAGACACAAGTTCCTGTGTAAATCTTGTTTGTGATGGTATGACAGACCAGCATGTTATATTTGGCAATGACCTTTTGAGTCACCCTGTTTTTATATATATATAACTGCACTGATCTTCTTTCACCACAAATAGTCTTAAAAGTAATGTTATGTCTTTGTTTAAATTTGCCTAACCAATTTGATATTTGATGCTTTGAAGTTCTGTATTCACAACTTGTTTTGCTTTTTCTCCATAAAACTCCACTTGCAGGAATATTGTTTTCTCTTACAAAACAAAACCAGTTGAATACTAATGTATCAATTTCACATACTTCAGTTTTTTTTTCAAATTTTACAGTCTTGGAATGTTTATTTGAATTAGTAATCTATAGTAATTTTATTTATTCTCTATCCTTTACGAAGTTTTTACTTATTCCAAATTTCTGCCATAAATCTCTCAGGCTTTTCAGTTTCTGCTACATGAATTAAATCAACTTTATATTTTAATGTTGATCTTTTCCTCTTTAAAGCCATGATAAATAACATATGTAAAAAATAACACACAAGTACGAAACTGCACTTCTTTGGCTCCCCAGTCCTAGCAAGAACTAAGAATGATAGAAATTTTCGCTATGTCACATTCTGAGATTCCTGTTCCTTGGCAGCTGACCTAGTCCTCTTACCATGCTTTCTTTCCCATTGGTCCTACCATGGATTGCCTTATAGCTTGCTGACATTGTTTTCTTCTCCCTACTGAGAACTGTAGCAGGAATAACTAGATTTAGAATTCTATGAATGTGAAATATACTTTTGACTGCACTACAATTTGCTTTTTCCCAATGTATTAATCCCCTTTTCCCAACTGAAAAACTGTTTCCAAAAGAGAAGGATTAACTTTTCATTTTATTGTTCCTTTGTCACAAAACTATCTTTCACTGAGCACAAATTTGCCTTTCAAACCTCAAAAGGTTACTAACAAAGAGTTTTTCTATTTTTATTTATTTCTGTAATTATATCTTATTTTTGAAACTGATTTTCAATGTCTCTTATATAGAATGTCTCTTAATAAGACATTAAGGTCCCTATTCAAAGGGGCAGAGATTATGTCCCTTCTGGGAGGTATTACTGTATTCTGCCTCCTTCCCTCCCATTTTTAAATTCATGTTTTACAAACTTTCTTTTTCTATTTCTTACCCTATAAGTTTGTTTTTAGTCCAAAGGGGCAATTTGCAAAGAAGGACTATTAATTTCATTTTGTTTTCAAGTTGTTGCCACCAAATATTAGAGCTCTGTTGTTATATTTAAAGAAACTAAATAATGAAGAATCTGCATAAATGTATGTATGTTTCTCGCACTGTGATAAAACAGTGGTTCCTTAAGCCATCAAACAAGACAAGACTGTGTATGAGAAATTCTAATGATATGCTCATTTTAAAATTATTTTGCGATATTCCTGTTGAACTAAATTTGATGGTTTAAGTTCGAAGAACATGGTATTTAATAAATAAAGATAACACATAAAAGGTTAAAAAAAGGCACCTTTGGGCATAATGTAAAACCTGAAAAGCTTTCAAATTTTTTTATAAATATTTTCTTTCTTTTTTCCTTCAAGGGGAGACATGTTAATTAGTGTATGACAGTTAAAGCCGTTAGTGTTGACTTTTTGTGGTTGAGTTTTTTTGTATATGTCAATCTAGCTAATTTTCAAATAAGCCATGCCTAATTTATACAGATCATTTCATAAAAAAAAGTATTATTTTAGAAACGTTTAAGGAAAAAAATTACTGATGCAGAATTATAATTGTTGCCTATTCTTTCCATTTTTTATATAAAGTCATTCTATGAATTTGCTGTCAACATGACCTGGTAATTTGACTATTCATGTTATT